CATATTCGCCAGATCGAGCACACTCAGATTATTATTTGTTCTGGTCTATACAATTTTTTTTAACTGTAAGACATTTACTTGAAATGACAATGCCAAAAATCACTTGGATCGGTTTTTTGTAAGCAACGATCAAAACTTTTATGAATGTGAAATCGTGCTACTACCAGAAACGATGACAACAGGTATTTGACCAAAATGGTCAACATATAATTCAATAAAATATTTATTTATTATAAGAATATTGCATTTTTTTCCACGGAAAAAAAACTAACTTACTTTCCGAACAACCCAATAGCTAAATGCATGATAATTGGTAAATTATTTATATTTACAAATTTGTTCTTGAGTAGTTTTGAATACCAATAATCTTCTAATAAAATTAGAGAGAAGACAAAAAGATCATTCACTTCTGAATTTATGTATATTATCTTATCTAGCACTATACATACTAAGCTACTGATTGATATGCTATTATTTATGAAATAAATTTATTTAAATAGATATTTACTTGTGTAAATATTATAAATGTTTTACTGTATGTACTATATGTTAAATAAGTAATATAAAACCTTTGACACTTTTTCTAGCAATTTCTTTAATCGAACGAACGTTCTCGGCTATATTTAATGGCCTCCCTCTTACTACATGTTATAATAAATATTTACTTGTGTATATATATTATTTCATTAGCAGATTATAATATATTATTAATAAATTTTATTTAAATTGATTATATGTTTGTCATTTTTCAACAAGGAGGCAAAAGAAAAGTTAGAAATAAGATTGCAGACTGTAGAAGCAGACTTACAGCAGAGACTTTTACATGCTCAAGAATTGCTAACTATAAGAAATAATGAATATGAAAAAATAAGAACAGAATTTAAAGTTGATCTAAGGTCTAGAGAAAATAAACATAGTGAAGAATTATCTTTAGAAAGAGAAAAATTTAAAAAAGTAAGTATTTTTTAAATTATGTTTATCAGAAACAAGAATCCTAGAATTCTTCAATGAATCTTAAAATTTAGGTCATAGAAAACTTCTAAACATAAATATATACTTTTGCTCCAAGAGCACAACAAATTAAGATATATTGCATATAATTCAGGCATCTTCTGATTACTAATTTAATTCCATATAACCTGTAGGACTTAGATCTTTATTCTTCCAGTTTTGTTCTGAAATTATGTCTTTTCTATTCTACTTTCTCTCTCTTTTATAAACAGAATTTGAAAAAATATATAAACTGAAAAAAATATAATTTTCTTTACTGGGATGACGAATTAATTTAATACCAGGTTAGTATTCATCTTATTGCATCAATCTTAGAGAATACTGGAAATTAGTCTAAATGACTGAAGTTTTCCTGCATCTATTGGTCAGAATTTTTAGTCTTGAAGAATGTTAATCCCAGACTGATCATTTTTAAGAAAGAGCAACACTACACACAAAAATTAGTATCCATCAGTAGCAGTAACAGAAGTTGGTTGTTATAAACTGCTGTAACAAGTATCAATTTGGACTGTGTATAGTTAACTGTGCAATGCTGCATGCATTTTATCTTCCAGGCAAAGTGCTAGAGGGAAAAGAGTTGTAGTAATGATGACAGCAAAGCTAAGTTTCACCAAAGTACTTTGTGCATTCAAATCTATGAAAGAGCTTTTGTATTCTCACTGTATCATTGAAAGAGACAGAGCAAATATTATGAATATTGAAAGTTTATATTGTTCAGTTTGAAAAGGAAAAGTGCTACTAAACAAATGAAGATTAATGACTTTTTAAGAAGTGATATAATGACTTAACAATAGAAAAAATATCGTTGGTGTGGTGTTCTGATTTAGCAAATACATTCAGGTAAATGTGACAATATTTTTTACATTTTACTTAGATCTTTGTATCTATCATTTTCCATATCCACAATTTTTTGTCAGGTCGCCGTATAAAAATAATGATTTGAGGTTTCATTGTATTTGATCTTTGAAAAATATTAATGATGATAATTAAAGATAAAATTACAAGTACAAATTTTAATTAAAAATATATTAAATCCTCAATATTGCTATTTTCAGAAAAATTTAAGCGAAATTAAAGAACTTAGGTTAAGTATTTAGAGTACTGTTTTAGACTGTATTTTTACTGTATTAAATAACTATGCTTCAGTTTATTAATTGATAACGTCAATATGATGTAAATATTTCATGTATATTTGATGAAACTCAAATAGAAAATATATTTAACAAAGAGAAATATAAAATAATGAAAATATATATATACCAAATATTTAAGAATAAATAAATCAGTTCAGAATAAAATTCTGCTAATACTATATTATGTTTTGTTTGTTTTACTTTTGATTTATTAAGTGCTAAGGATTGTGCAAAGTGAAGCTGAAAACATTTTAAAATAAATCATTTTTGGCTTCCTTAAGGACAGCAAAGCAGTTTTTACTTTTGATTTCATCATATAGCTAATTAATATACTGCAACTTTTCAATAGACACTGACAGATACACCTTCCTTACTTACTCCAACAATGTTTATTAGGAAAGTGGATTTTGCATGTGTCAGTGTCCATTGATTCATCATCTATTTTAAATACAAATCTCTGTATTTTTTTAAAATTATTATAATAAAATAAATTATTTCTTGTGAAATACTCTTACTTTATAGAATAAATATAATTTTAATAATTAACATCTTTGTTTTTTAGATTCATCGTGAAGCAGAAAATAAATGGGAAAATGAAAGAAAAGAATTAGAACAAAGTCATCAACTCAAAATTCATCAACTTGAAGGCCGGATTGTTTGCTTAGATTCACTAAACAGAGTATTAATTTTATTATTTTTAATAACATGATAAAATTAATTTATTATTATTAATATTGAGAATACTTTTTATCTATCCTAAAATATTCAAAAGAGTAGTAAGGTGTAATTTTTATTTATGAAATTGATGGCAAAAATATATACATGTGAGGGTTGTCCAGAAAGTATGATGCCATCTACAGTCCATTTGCCTATAGATGGCATCAAGAGCAACAGGTATCAAGCAGGTAAGATCAGTTATCTTTAGTTATACATTGTATGCTCAAAGTAATTTACATATTGATCGTGCATTATACAGTTGATAAGAATTGTTAGAATAGCAGCAAAACTTAACAATCCTATGGCATATCAAGTGTATGCTGTTATTTGTTTTTTGACTGCCAAAGTATTCATCCAAAAGACATTTCATCTTTGCATTACAGCAGTGTATGGTGGCAATGTAATGTATGAATTATCAATAAGACATTGAGTGCACAAGTTTAATGCAGGGAGAGAAAATGTGACAGATGAACACTGTGCTTGCTGACCATTTCTTGTTAAGGAAGAACTGAATGCGTGTCAAGGACTGCATTAAATGTAATCAGTGCATCAAACTTGATGAACTCCATGAACAGTTTCTAGAAGTTACTCAAGTATTGCTCCATGAAATTATCATGAAGCATCTTGTTTACAGGAAGATTTGCACAGGCTGGGTATTGTGAATGCTCACCAATGAACACAAACAGAATCATATAGGTGCAACATTAACATTTTTGAGCCATTATGCAGAAGCAGGTGATGCATTTTTGGATCTCATTGTTACAGAAGATAAAATATGGATCAGCCATTTCACTCCTGAGAACAAATGCCTATCACTAGAATGCACCATCCATGATTTCCAATAAAACAATACAAGTTTAAGCAAGTGCATTCAGCAAAGAAGATTGTGTCTACAATGTTCTGGAACTACAGTGGTCTTTTGCATGTTGAGTTCATGTACCAAGACAGAACAATTAATACAGATGCATATTGTGGAATGTTGCATGAATTGCATAGGACCATTCAAAATAAGCAGCATGGCATGTTGTCTAAGGGTGTTATGCTTTTCCAGACCATACACTTGTTTCAATGCTTCAAAAGGGATGTTCTGCACTTTCCTGCCTACAGTCTGGACTTAGCTTACATGACTATCACCTGTTTGGGAAATCAAAGGAGTTTCTGGGAGAAAAGCCAGTGGTGATGTGTTGAAAGATGAAGTCGTACAATGGTTAAAGGTCTTGGTGGCAGAGGTTCTAGATCAGGCATGGCCAACATACGGCCCATCTAATGAATTTATGTGGCCCGCGATTAATCTTTCAATATTAGCTACTCAAGTCCAAATAGCTTGATGAAAAATTCTGACCCTGCAAAAAAAAAAAGGTCAACAACTCATTGTGCATTTAGCATTAACCCTTCATTACAAATTTCTTAAATACAGAGTAGAATGTTGATAAAGCATGATAATATGATAAATGTATCTGTAATCTCTATGTACAATTTAGTCTCTATGGGGTGACACTGACACCACAATCAGATCTCGCACCACCTCAAAATCTTCATAGGGCAGCCTCTGATTCGTCCTGTCAAAAAAGTTTTCTTTCCAATTCAGCCTGGGGGAAAAAACCCCTGTCCTAGATGATAGCATTCAAAAACTGGACACAAGATATAACAAGTGCTTAAACAACAGCAATAATTATGTTGAAAAATGACTAAATCAATATGTAGTATTATGGCACATAAAAAAATTTGAATAAGCAGACAGTGTGTTGGTGTCAGTAAACAAAAGGTCCAACTCCAACTCCAGCAAATTTGCAGTGTATGACTTTGTGACTCTGATCTTTTTTTTTTAAATGTCACACTATGATTCCTTTTATAAGAAAGATACCACTGGGTTTCTCTATAAAATGTTATACTAAAATTGATGGCAAGAATCAAAAAATGGATAGGCCTATAATGTATTTACCCTGGAAAAACTGTCAAATACATAAAGAAACACACTACATCTTAATAGGCAAAAAAATGTCACTTTTATTAGTTAATTATGAAAAACTGATTTAAATTTAATTATTTTCAAGAAAAAATTAAATACAGTAAAACACAAAAAGTAACAATTTGATGAATGACATAATGAAATAGTTTCTCCTGCTCCAGCTACAATGGGAATAGTTAATTTCCTACTGACACAATGGTTGACTAAACTGAAGTATACATTAGAATTTTAAAATATTAAATTTGGAAAAAAATCAATTGTCTTGAATTGACAGGTACAATCATCCCCAAGAACCAATTTGATGTTGACTCTGATACATACTTGAATAATAAGCCAAAATAATCCTATTAATTACATTTTTCAGTTTTTTTTATTCCTCTTTTAGTTTATTGCAGTTAGATTCTGATCTCGATTTTACTTTTTTCATTGTTTTTCTATTGACTGTTTTAAGATCAAATTATGCTATTGAAGCTATAACAGTCATAAATAAATCAAAACCAACAGAATGGCAGTAAAAAAATTAATTAATCAAATTAGTCAAAAAGACAATTGACATCCAAAGTAAAACATCTAGAATGTAAAAAATTATGGCGCTCAAAATGAAACCAAACTTTCTCTTGGGAGTTTCTCTTTGATAAAGATAAGCTTAGTGCTTTGAAGTGTTTACTTTCCAGGTGCAATCCCATGACTAACTACAAGTGTTCTGTAATTTTATTCATTTGGCCACTGGTGGGCCTTAAATTAATAAAAGCCATTTTCCGAAAGTATAGAGCATGTCATGTGAGATATGCATAACGTTTTCTTATGAAATGGCTTTTATAGATTACTATCATTTTGATATCTAAATTTATCAAAGTGTTTGTTTTTGAAGAAATGTCTTTCGATACTAATTAATTAAAAAGTATTTTTCTTACTTCACTTTTAACCAATAGTAAACTTTGAGGTTGAAGTTGCTGGAGTTGAAAGAATTTTACCAACTCTACAACATTATAAGTAGATGCCCATAATCATGTCATCTACTTATAATGTTGGACAAACAGGTATTACTTTCTGAACAATCCTCATAATTTTTAAATTATTGTCTTCAAGTATACTATCTTAAGTAATAATTTTTCTTGATTTGTCTATTGTTGTTAAATTAATCATTAAGGGCATAAAACTTTTTGATGATTATAATTTACTTCCTTTTAAAATATTTACAGTGTTTCAAAATTCTATGTAAATTTGTGCTCCATTCCAATAGTCTCAGATGATTGTCCACAAACTTATACAACCATTTGCATTTAACAGAAAAATATTAACATATGTTAAAAAGATTTTACTTATCATTTTACTGTAATGAATAACATTTAGTTTATAATATATAAACTATATATATAAACTGAATATACATAGTAAAATTTATATCAAAATACAAATTCTTAAAGCTGGAACTTAAGTCAATACCTATCAGGAGCAACCTGATCACTTCCAGCAATAGAGGAGGTATATGACAAACATTTTCAACTATTTTGACTAGTCTATTTCAGGTCCACCATAAAATTTTAAATTTTACACTTAATACATTCCATTAATAAAGTTTAGAATTTAATGGTGGATTTGAAGCAGACTAGTCAAGATAGTCAAAATCATTTGTTATATGTCTTTTCCATTGCTGGAAGAGTGATTAAGTTGATCCTGGTACATACTGTATCAAGTACACTACTTGAGAAAAATAGATGCAAGCGAGATAATCATCATTATGAATAGCATTCAGGATTTTTCCATGTCTGAAATGTCAGAAGCCAGAGAAGCAATTTGCTGATTGAGTCAGATTCCATGACACTAGGAGTGGATTAACCTTACGATTTGCCATCTCAAAAAAAAAAAAAAAAAAACAAATCTACATATATCATTCTCATATAAAATATGATCTTACTGTATTCAGATTTATTATTATGCAAATTGTTTAAAATAATCATATATAAAAGTATAGTAATATCTGTAGTGCTCCTTAAGTCTAATAAACTATTATACAGATCTTTCTTTATAGTTTACACAATTTTACAAAGGATGTGATTTAGGATTCCTGACTTAACTCTTACTTTTTATTTATTCATTCTCAAAAAAGTATTTTTTTTGCAAAAAAATAACAACATTCATTTCTCTTGCTCTGGTAGAGAAAACACTGTCAATTTCAATTAGTCTGTTTTTTTACATTAATGTATTCTTATAAACTTTCAGATTTAGTTTCAATGTCAGTGTGGATGGTATTTTTATTATTTTATGGCTATAACAAAAACATTTAAATTTAAATATAAGAAATTCATGTTTTTGAAATGAATTTGCAGACACTGTCACTTTCTATGTTGAATGATTTCTTCTGGAAACATGTATTATTCAATGTTTTTTTTTCTATCAAACAACAAAAATTGTGAGTATTTTTGAATTAAATATTAATTATGTTGCAATAATAATGCCTGAAAAGTAATCATTAACAATGTCAATACACTGAACAAAAAAAATAAAATAAAATAAAGCAAGTGGATAAAATAATTAAACACTGGCTTTGTAGGTTTGTGCCTGATCAACAGGCTGGCTGCATGAACATTTTGTTTTCTTCACGTATCTAACATATAAATAGGGACCAGTATCCCTATAAAGTCCTTCTTCTGGAAGGCACTCCCTTGGCAGATCACCCTGGTGTTTAAAAGTTATATTTCATCAGTCTAATCTGAAAAATAAAAGCAAACTCACATAGAAATCAAGGATAACTGCAAAAACCATTTTTATTTGCAACTATCCCAGTTGCAAAGATTCTGTCCCAAAAATTCCCCATCCCAGTTTTCAGTTGCAATAATTTTTCAAGTAATAACTTATTTTTTGCATTCAATGTTTTGTTTTATATACATGCAAATAATTTGCATGGACAAAACTTAATACTTATACTTATTACTAGTACTAAAATTAGATTTATTTTCTTAATTAGCATCAATAACTGTATTGAATGTAGGCTTGAGAGTCTTGATTATAATTTTTCTATTATGATAGCAACTTGAAGAAATTGTATCCTTACAAAGATCAGTTTGTAAACATTGTATATTACCATAAAAAAAAGATTTTACTTTTAAAATCCCACCAAAGAGAGCATCTCTCATTAAGAACATGTGGAACCCATATATTAAGCTTTGAAATGAAACCAATTTGTTTCAAGTAATCATAAATGGTTCAATTTGACAAATTTAATCTCTTAGTGATTCAGCAGTTTGCTTCAATCGATACCTTTATTTTGTTTTCATTGGTTTCAACTGGCCATCCAGGATGTGGTGCATCTTCAATATTGAAATTGCCAGAACGAAATTCTGTAAACCAGTTTTGACACTGTCGTTCTGTCAATACATCTTCTCCGTACACGTCACGCAATTTTTTTATCGCTTGAACAGCATTCTTACCTTTTTGGTAATAAAAGAGCAAAATATGCCAAAAATGTTGCTTTCGATCTTCCATATTTGATGGGACACACAAAAATAAACAATTGCACAAAATCAAACAAAATGTTTTACAAATGAGCCTTAAAATGCTAGTTGTCAAAATATATAATGATAATACGGTTTAGAATAAAAATGGCGGGAAAAGTACAACTAATCCGTCTAGTGGTAAAAAAAAAACAAAATTACTTTTCAAACAACCTAGTATATAGCATTCCATGTACTTTCAAATTACAGTAGCATAATTAAAAATTATTGGCTGTTAATTAGAGCCCGAGATATCATTGAATTAAATTGTCAATTTATTCAGCCTTTTCTGATTGAAAACATATTGTTATTTTTCTTCACTATTAAAAAAAATCATTGTATATTTGTTTTAAAGTAGTTTGCATTTTAATAAAAGATGATGATAATTTGATTCTTATTGAATTTAAAACTTATTGAATGAAAAGGTTAACTTTTAATACAAATCATATAAAAAAACAAAGACCATCTTTATAGTTTATAAGAAAATTACAAAAAAAAATGTTTAAAAAATTTATAAAAAAAAGTATAAATATTCTATTAAATTGACCAGGTGACCAAAAAAAGTAAACATATCACTTTATCATTGTTTCAAGTCTAGATAAGATTTTTTAGAAATTTTGTAGGTGATTTGATCCGGATATATTAAAGCTCTATCTTTCTCTCACTACCTGGCCCCACTCTATTATGGACCTGACTGAATCAATGATAAACTTCCAAAAATGCCCTTTAAGTACCCAAAGGACAAAAAATTGATTAAAAAGATGCTAAAAAAAGTAATAAGAAGTCAATTACTTAGTTTAAATATTGTCTATTGTCTTAGTTATGGTACTTACTTATTCAGTAAGTAAGTAAGTTGAAAATTAATAACTTTAGGGAAGTATTTTCATTCAAAGTGTTGAAGCAAATTGTATAAAACAATATTTGAATTGTTTTCATGAATTCGTATTTAATGAATAGAAACTTTAGAAATTGTAAATGACTTTTTTACTAATAGTATCGAATCTACAGATCATTTGCAATTTTTGAAGTTTTAAAAAGGAAATATTTCAATGCTTTTGTTGATGATGAATTCAATACTAAAACTATACACAAATATATTAATGTCTATTATTTATTACATTAAAAGCAGAACTTTGTAAATAATAATTTTTCTTGATTATTTTTAAGGAATTACAAGAAAAGCAATATAAACTAGATGCCTCGAATCGTGAATTACGAAATAGAGTCGCTGCTCTTCAAGAAGAAATTCATCAGACACATCAGAAACTACAAAATATAACCAAAGAAAATGCAAATCTCGATGCCGAATGCCAGGAGCAATCTAGAATGATCAGTCATCTTAAAAGCAAACTATCATTATCCGAGCAAGAATTTAAAAATTTAGAAGATAATACCAAAAGATTACAAGATCAATTAACTAATGAGAATGAACAAAAGGTAATTTTTAAGTTATATTAGTAAAACGTTTTTTAATTCTATAGTTATTATATTTATAATATATAGAAAAAGTTAGAAGAAAATTGTGATAAGAAACAACTACAAATAAATAAGCAGTCGGTTTCAATTAAATCATTGTCTGATGATTTGATGAAAGGAAATGAAATTATTCGCAAATTGCAAGCTGAAATGCACAGTATCCATGCAAAAGTAATAAATATTTTCTTTTATATTATTTTATTTTTGTTTTATTTAAACGATACTTTATATTTTTATTTTGCATTATCTAGCTCAAAATAAAAGATAAAATAACTATAAAACAAGAAGAAGTATTAACTGTAAAGGAAGAAGAACTCAAAAAGTTGAAAGAAGAATTAGAAAATATTAAAGATAATCTGAAAGAAAAAGAATTAGAGGTCTTTAATTTTTATTATTATTATTATTATTATACATCATGGTTTTCATATGTTAATTTTTACATAAGCAGAATTCAAAACTGACAACAAATTTAGATGAAATAAAACAGAAGTTAGAAGATGCTCAGAAGCAATATAAAACAAGTGAAAATAGTAAGTTAAACTTTTTTAAAAAAAAAACTAAATTTTCATAAACTTTGCATTTTCTGAAAGTAATTAATCTTTAATGAAATAAGAAAGTCTTTATAATATAATTACATATAAAACTAAACCCAAAAGCTATGGAGTTATGTAAAAATCTACTGACTCTGACTTTGCTTTACCATCCAGTCCAACTCTGACCAGAAGCAGACTTGTTAACAAAATAGGCCTGGGATTCTGATATCACATGACCTTAGAATAAAAGCTTCAATAAATAGAGTTCTAATAAAGATAGAACGTAGAAACTTTTTTATTCCAAAGCCAAAAGACTCCTCCATGTAATGACATAGTCAATATATAAATATGTATTCGATAATTTTTACTTCCCCGGCTGTTATATATAACAGGGAAAATGTAGTGATTGGTCAAAAAATGGTCTCTCAAATTTTTACATTTTTGGACTCAGGACACCTTAGGTAGGTGGCTAAGCTGCCATATTGTGTTAAATTTAATAAATAAATAAATATAATTAGAATTTTCTAGAAGAAAAAATTAACCTAGAGCAGGACACAAACCAAATTATATAGTATCACATCCTGCTTACTGCGTAGATACACTACTAGCTATGCTACCTTAACCTTTGTCTGGTCTTATTAATTTAGATATAACTATACTTATCACTCATTGGAATTTTATGATATTTTGGATTACATAGAGTAAAGAATTTTTGTTTATAAATTAGTAAACAAAAAGTTTTATTGTTTATATTCTTGTAGGTTCCAAATTGATATTTATATTAATAAATTATATTAATATTAATTGTATATTAATATATATTATTACTTTATGATCAATTATTTTTATAATGGCCATTGTAATTAATAATATCTGCTGTCAAAAATATTTATTAAATGAATTAATTAGAGTATTCATGATGGGATGTTTTCCTCATTTTTAGAAAAATTGAGCTTCATTCAACAAAAGCTATTAACCATGAACATTTATTCTGACAGAACAATTTGCAATATGTATTAGCTTTGTTGGACCACTTCATTTATTAGCATCATTTTCATTTTTTTTTTTTTTTTTTTGAGGAACTGTTTCTGCCATTTTTTTAAGTCACAAATTGACTGGTTTCTTTGTCAGCAAATTTCAATAATTAGTAAGGAAGCCTTTTATTAAGCATTGGTTTTTGCTAAAGAACTTGTATTACAAAACCAAATTGGGAACTTATGACTTTTAAAAAACTTATCAAAACCAGTATAGCAAGAAAAGTTACAGACCATAAATAGCCTTATTTTTTAATTGAATTGCTTATACAGTAAGACCCCGCTTAACGCTGCCTCGCTTAACACTGATTCGATATAACACGATCTGCTCAAAGCCTAACAAAAGCTCAAAATTTATGCTGATATAAATTATTGAGGCATTTTGTTGATTCGTATATAATACGATTATTTGCAAACACAAACCAATCAGAAAAAGGTGTACTTTCTTTAAATCTATGTTTGTTTGGTGAAATTTTAGAAAAAATATAACGTCATGGATGCCATAAGAAATATCAACTTTGCTTGGCAAGAATAAACTGATAAATGCACGAATGAAGTGTTGAAGAAGGCATGGCTGAAAGTATTCAAGAATTCTCAACGAGAAGAGCCTATTGTTGTATCGTTAGGTTGACCAAACTCAATCTAATCGATATAGCAGGACTAGGCAATATAGACGAGCAGGATATTGAGGAGTTTTAGCAGGTTTCTGGTGAGAGCCTTACAAAAAATTATATTCAAGAACTGGCAGAACACGAAATTTATGTGAAACTGGAAAACAGAGATTCTGAAAATGAAAAACCCAAAAATTTCTCTACAGATTTCCTTAGTAAAAGTTTGATAAGATAACAAAAATCGTTGATCAAATTGTAGCGAATGATTCTATCCAGATTTTGAAAGGAGTGCAAAAGCAAAACGAGGCGTTTTGGATGCGATCTTCTGCTATCGACATTTGTTTAAGGAAAGAAAAAAGCGACAAGTGCAACTTCACAACTTTATTGCAAAAGAACAAGAATTTCAGAAAATTCAGGACCTTTGTCACAAAAAATGAATGTTACATTTCTGTGTGCATATGTTTTTGTGTTATTTAACATATATTATTATACAAATTAATATAAAAATAACTTAAAATTAAAGTGAAATTTATTGATTTTTGGTTGCACGTTCTCCTATCCCTATTTACTCTATGTTAAAATGACCTCATTTAATGATGTTTTGCTTAATGCTTTGTTGTCTAGGAAGGCATCCTCCACATTAAGTGGAGTCTTACTGTACTTTAAAATACTTTAAAATGTAAATCTCACAATAGAATTTAGATAAGATTAAATTTTATTTTGAAAATTTTCTTATCTAATTAGTATTTATTTTTAATAAATCAATATGTAATACTAATTTTAATTTTAAATTGTTGAAAACATTTTAATAGTTTATAATATTTAAAGATATTTAAGAATTAATGTTTGTTATTTATATAGATATAATTCTTTCTTTTCTAGTTATCAAGTGGCTTAATAAACAATTAAATGAAAAACAAAATGTAACACAGCAATCTGCAATGAATACTGATATTGTCAGTACATCTGACACCTTAAGACAGGTATAAATTTTGAAACAGTTTTATAGTATAGTTATTATTATTATTTTTAAAAACTTGTTTTATTTATTAATAAATTTTAATAATTTTAAAATCAGAATTATATATAAAAACATATTTGTTATATATATTTATATTTTATATATAACAAATATATTTTATATA